TGTGTGTGTGTGTGTTTGTGTATCCAGAGGGTCAGTGTGTGTCTGTGTGGCTCAGCAGCAGCAGTGAAGCTCGCTCGCTCTCTCAGACCACGGTGCTGACGGAGGGATCTGATAGGTTGAGCTGGCCGGTGATGTCGGTCGGGTACGGCTACAGAGAGAGCAAACACACAGGTTATAAACAGCAGCATCACACACTGGCTGATCCTGAGCTGTACCCTCTCATGGGTCCTGCCTACATTCCTGTTTTCATCTGAAGGACTTATTAGCAGTGGAGGAAGCGTTCAGGTGTTTTACTCAGGTGTTACCTGCACACAAGCAACTGTTAGCGTAAACATGCTAACACAGCGAGCCTGTCAGACTTCACTGCAGACACACAGGATCGTTACGTTAAAAATTACCTCCTTTAAACAGATTAATATCCTGGCATCAGTGCAGGGCTGGACATTTGAATCCTACATCACTTTTCACTCGTCTACAAAGTTCACCGTGATATTTTGTGACGTGTTTTAAAGGACCGTCCCTTAAAGGTTTCAGGCTGCTGGACATGAATTAAAGATCGTCTCCCATCGTGTGAGCCGGGCTGAAGCTCTGTCACGGGCAGCATCAAACTTTCATGTGTGAGCAGAAGCAGCAGCACAGGCCAGGCTGTCGGTTCGATTCCCAACAGTGTGCGTTGGTTTCTTTAGGAAACCTGATTGTGTGTCAGCCTGACAGCGTTGTTGACACAAGCCTGCAAAACACACGTGAGTTTCTCTAAGACAGAGAAATGATCAAAGCCATGCTGTGCACACAGCAGGCTGTCTGTCTGCTGTGTGAGCACAGTGGGACTCACGACCGAGTGCTGTTCTCAGTATGGACGAAATGATGATCACACTCCCACAGACGTTCACTGTGGACCTCACCACTCTGTCTCACTTCATAAGACAATTTTTCTAACATTAGTTTCTGATGCTAAATTAAGTTTTAATGCACATATTTTTAAATTATGTATAATATATAAATTTATACTGTGAAATCAGTTTTCCTGCAGGGATTTTAATCCTAACATTCATTTTTTATTCTAGCATAGATCGTTACTGACAACATTTGAGGGTCACTGATTTTATGCTAATGCTAGTTAATTAATTTTGTTATTATTGATGTTTTTACATTTTCTTATATGATTTTAACCTAAATTTTTTCTGCTTAATGTAATCTTAACTGTTCTGACTCACAATAACAATTACCATCACATGTAAAGAAAAATGTTGATATTTTTTAAATGTCACGCTGTCACTAGAACGTGTCGACGCCTGTTTAATCGTCATAGAAAGTTGGTTCTGTTCATCTAAATGTTGTGTCTCCAGTTCAGCTGATTTTATGGGATTGTTAGCAGAAAGCGCAAAAACACAGCAGCTTATTCTTCATGCTAACATCAGTGTTTTTATGCTAGCAGTAGGTAGCATAGAAACACTGTTTGTGTGATTCTAACAATTTTATTTTATTTATATCCACCAAATATGTAGATTGTTTGTGTAGGCCTGACACTGCGTCTTCTGTCACACTGCACACCATGCTAAGATTAGTTTTCCACTAACAGTTCTCTGGAAAGACTGGAGCTCTGTGGCTGGAGACCAGTTTAAAAATCACAATAAGTTTAACTGTTTGACACTAAAATATAAAGACATGATCAGTGGCACAAGACTTTTGCACAGTACTGCATTATCGATAAGTTACAACATAAGCATGCTAATGCTAGCATGCTAAGAGCCCAGCACGCTCTTCATGCATTTGTAGCCACAACTTTAAACATGTAAACAAAATGCAGAATGTTACGTAGTTTTAGCTGTTGTGCTGTTTACAATAAAAAACTAGAATTGATGAAGAAGATCAAAGCTGTTCTTAATGCACAGTTTTGATCATGCTAATGTTGTTTTTTTTTTATGCTAACATGAATTGTTTTCATGCTAGCGTTTTTTATGGCAACATAAACATTTTCGTGTGAATGTCAGTGTTTTTTGACAAAATAAGCTTGTGGAGATTTTTTCACCTTTTTATCTCCAAAGCACTGAGTAGGAAGTGGCTTCCAAAGTTTAACCAATCAGATGAAAGCTGGCTTTTAGAGACGAGGGACTTAAAGAGACAGTAAACTGGCTTGTTGTAGACAGGATTGTTTTCGAGTGTGAATCGTGAGCGGGTTAGCTCCTCTCATGTAAACATCAGAAACCACTGAGGGAGCCATCCAATGCAGACCACAATCAATGCTGTACTCTGAGTAAAAGTACTTAGTTACTTTCCACCACTGCTAATGTGACGACTGATGGAGTTTGCCCGCAGCGAGGCGGGGCAAAGCTGGGGGTCTGGTTTAGAGTGCGGGTGTGTTTTGAGCCTACAGTCGGTCGTGCTTGCAGAGGAGGACAGAGGCAGTGTGTGTGTAGTACAGCATGTAGTCTGGACACCATTCAAATCCACTGAGAGAGAAAAACACTCATATAGAAAATAAAGAGAGATGATCACAAGAGAAATGAGTCAGCTGTGCTCCAACACCCGCTTCAGCTGGCTGGGTGTGATCAGCAGCTGGTTCTTCTGCTGCTCATGAACATTAAAGCGTTTCAATGAGCTCTCCTCACTGAAACAGTTTAACGTGCAGCAGCTCCTTAAATCCCTGAGATGACACGCTTTGGCACTATTTTGACTCCCTTTACATCAAACCACTGCTTATCTGGAGGGAGGAGGGATGCAAAATGTGCCAGAACGCTGCAGATTTTAAGACACATCACAAAGTTTGGCACATTTCAGATCGTCCGACTGAGGAGGAGAGTTTCACCAACGCTGCAGGAAAACAGACCTCAGAAATCCTGCAGCTTCGCTCAGATCTGAAGCAGCCACAGTAACAGCACTGAGGTCATTTATAGATCGTTAACAGCCGAGTCCTGTGGGAACAAAAGATGGTCAGGAAGACCCGAGCAGCCGACCAGACGCTGAAACAGACAGGAGTTAGAGGAGACGGACGAGTCTCTGCTGGGCAACCTGTGAGGGCGAGGGGACATTTGGAAATGAAGGGACAGAGAGATGACAGGACAGGAAGGAGAGGAAACAACCAATCAGAGAGAGACAGGACAAAGGACAGGGCAAAGGACATGACAAAGGACATGACAAAGGACATGACAAAGGACAGGACAAAGGACAGGACAAAGACAGGACGAACGACATGACGAAGGACAGGACGAAGGACAGGACGAAGGACAGGACAAAGGACAGGACAAAGGACAGGACAAAGACACGACAATGGACAGGACAAAGGACAGGACGAAGAACAGGACAAAGGACAGGACAAAGGACATGACAAAGACACGACAATGGACAGGACAAAGGACAGGATGAAGGACAGGACGAAGGACAGGACAAAGGACATGACAAAGGACAGGACAAAGGACAGGACAAAGGACAGGACAAACATGACAAAGGACAGGACAAAGGACATGACAAAGGACAGGACAAAGACATGACAAAGGACAGGACGAAGGACAGGATGAAGGACAGGACAAAGGACAGGACAAAGGACAGGACAAAGGACAGGACAAAGACATGACAAAGGACAGAACGAAGGACAGGATGAAGGACAGGACAAAGGACAGGACAAAGGACATGACAAAGGACAGGACGAAGGACAGGATGA